TTTAGACAAAGGGAAATGCTATACGGTCTTTAACAGATTGACAGTGTTGGAAGGGATCTTGTAGGTCATCTAGTCCAACCCCCCACCCAAGCAGCATTTCTGACAAATGGCAGTCCGGTCACTTCTTGGAAGCCTCCAGTGATGAAGCTCCCACAACTTCTGAAGGCAACTTCTGTTCCATGGGTGGATTGTTCTCGCTGTCAGAAAATTCCTCCTTATTTCTAGGTTGAATCTCTCCTTGATCAGTTTCCATCCATTATTCCTTGTCTGGCCTTTGGGTGCTTTGGAGAATAGCTTGACCCCCTTCCTCCTCTCTGGGGCAGCCCCTCAAATATTGGAAGACTGCTATTGTGTCTCCCCTGGTCCTTCTCTTCACTAGACTAGCCATGCCCAGTTCCTGCAACCGTTCCTTGTATGTTTTAGCCTTCAGTCCCCTCATCATCCTGGTTGCTCTTCTCTGCACTTTTTCTAGAGTCTCAAAATCTTTTTTTATAGTGTGGTGACTAAAATTGGATGCAGGACTCCAGGTGTGGTCTTACTAAAGCTTTATAGAGTGGAATTAGTACCTCCCTTGATTTTGATTGTATCCCTGTGTTAATGCAGCTATTTTTTTTTCTTCAGCCTCTATGGAGTTTTTAAAACCTCCATTACAATGTCCCTTTAAATGAGTGGGGCTGAAAGCTTTTCAAGACTGAAAGGAGGTTAGACGTTCAAGAAGAATGGGGAAAAAAAGACAAAAAGAAACCAACAGTTTCAAATGTTAAGTTGGGTTGGTAATATGACGCTTCGGGTTTTTTTTTAATGCTCCCTCTGCCATCCACGAGGCTCCAAAATCCGTGTAATCCTGCCAGATTCCAGCAAATTGGTGTAATTTGCCTCTCTGCTAATCCTTAAAGCATCCGTCACTGACGACAAGATGGGAAAAAAACTCTTGTGGAATTGCAAACAATTATGGGTTTTTCACAAGTCGGCGAAGGACTGCACGCGTCGTGCTACAACAAACCAGCTTCTTTAAACTGTGGTTTACTCAATTAACCGTCGGCAAAACCGAACCTGAGGCAAAGCCAACCGAAGCCTAGAGAAATGGGTCCTTTAAAACAGGGCTCTCCAAATTTGGCAATTTTTAAGACTTGTGTATCTTATGTTTTGTATCTTGTGATTCTTGATGAATATATTGTATTTTTTTTTCTTTATGTACACTGAGAGCATATGCACCAAAGATAAATTCCTTGTGTGTCCAAATCACACTTGGCCAATAAAGAATTCTATTCTATTCTATTCTGCAGTAGGTTTCAGCAGGTTCTGACCAGTTCTGGAGAACCGGTAGTGGAAATTTTGAGTAGTTTGGCGAATCGGTAGTAAAAATTCTGATTGGCCTCACCCCCATCTATTCTCTGCCTCCCAAATCCCAGCTGATCAGGAGGAAATGGGGATTTTGCAGTAACCTTCCCCTGGAGTGGACTGGGAATGGACATTTTACAGTATCCTTCCCCTGCCACGTCCAGCAAGCCATGCCCATCAAGCCATACCACGTCCACTAAGCCACACTCACAGAACCAGTAGTAAAACAATTTTGAAACCCACCACTGATTCTCTTCTCTTCTCTTCTCTTCTCTTCTCTTCTCTTCTCTTCTCTTCTCTTCTCTTCTCTTCTATTCTATTCTATTCTATTCTATTCTATTCCAGACTTCAATGCCCAGAATAGAAATTCTGGGAGTTGAAGTCCACAAGTCTTAAAGTTGCCAAGGTTGGACACTCCTGCTGTCAGGTTTCGATGTTGTCTCAAATAAAATAAATTGCATTTCCAAACAGATAGTCTTTGAAGAAATCTTTCATTTTATTAAGCACGACAACCTGTCCCCGATCGTGGCGTAGCCAACTCTGACTTCCTGACCCCAAACCTTCCCTTTCCGTTCCCCAATTCTCTGCGTCTCGTTGGCCCTCTTCCAAATCACTCTCCCCATATCTACTACTCAGCTCCCAGGAATGTCCCCCCCTCCCATCTCATCTCCTAGGGGATATTATCTTCAGGGAAAATAAGTAGGTGACAAGTCAAGCGTCCTCTTGCCAGCTGCCCCCTCTTCTCCTTCTTATGTCAGCACTAGAGTAAATGCAGGTTGAAGTGCTGACACCTGCTTTAAAAGATACGAAGCCCTTTTAAAGCAGCCCAACGTACCCCACACCCAAAATGCATCTTGCGTGGGCTGATTCTCAACTCCCACAACTTGGCCATAGGGAAGAGAAAAGAGAGGAGAGAAAGAGTGGGATACGCAGATCATCTGCAGAATCGGAAAACGTAAGGTGGAAAAGAAAAAGAAAAAGAAAACGCATAATTTGAATACTTGTGGCTTTAAAGCCCATGCTGAGATCTTACACTCCGATTGTTTTAAAGTGGTTCCAGCATTTTGCCTCTCGTCATAAAAGAAGCACTGAAACCGAAAATTATTTCCTTGTCTCAAGCACCTCTCACTCAAGCAGCTCGTGCTGCTGGTGCTCACAGAAATGTCCCTCACGTGGATTTCAAGATGGGATGAAGGGAAAAACAACCGACGCTTAACCCGTCCGTATCTGCCTTAGCAGCCGATAGATTTCCAAAACAATTCAGCAAGAATCACGTCCCAGCATGCCTTCTTGGGTGGAGGCCTTGCAACTAGGCTGGCAGGTGTGGGGGGCTCATGGATATGGGGGTAAATAAAAGCAGGTTACCAGGTCTTTCGTGATAAGGGGTCAAAATCATTACTTTAAAAAAATTAGGATTACTTTTCCTGCGGTGTGTGTTTTGGCCGAGAGGTCAGGGAAATAATTAGTCCATGGTAGGTTATCTTTGCAGGGACTCAGGGGGGGAATGAGATTTTTTTTCCCTAACCATCTTTTCATAAATAAATATTATATTATATAAGAGCCCTGATGGCGCAGCAGTCTAAAGCACTGTTATTAACACAGCTGCCTGCAATTACTGCAAGTTCAAATCTCCCCAGGCTCAAGGTTGACTCAGCCTTCCATCCTTTCTAAAGTAGGTAAAATGAGGACCCGGATTGTGGGGGCAATAAGCTGACTTTGTATAAATATACAAAAGTATGAAGGCTATTGCTTAACGCACTGTAAGCCGCCCTGAGTCTCTGGAGAAGGGCGGCATATAAATTAAAGCAAAAAAAAAAAAAAAAGAACCCCCCAAAAATATGCGTGGCTCTGCTGTCCTATGTAAGTTGAATGTTTCACATTTTAAATCCAGTGGTTGCAAGAGGATTTTTCAGGATGATGTGGGGAAGGGAAGGAAGAAAGGAAAGGGAAGGGAATAAAGAAAAAATAAAATGGGATGGGGAAGGGGAAGGGGAAGGGGAAGGGGAAGGGGAAGGGGAAGGGGAAGGGGAAAGGAGAGGAGAGGAGAGGAGAGGAGAGGAGAGGAAAGGAAAGGAAAGGAAAGGAAAGGAAAGGAAAGGAAAGGAAAGAAAGGAAAGGAAAGGAAAGGAAAGGAAAGGAAAGGAAAGGAAAGGAAAGGAAAGGAAAGGAAAGGAAAGGAAAGGAAAGGAAGAAAAGAGGGAGGAAAGGAAAGGAAAGGAGGAAGGGAAGGGAAGGAAAGGAAAGGAAAGGAAAGGAAAGGAAAGGAAAGGAAAGGAAAGGAAAGGAAAGGAGGAAAAGGGATGGGATGGGATATTGGAAAAAACTTCTTTCTGTTCATTCTATCCATACCGTTCAATATATGGTCAGCATAGATAAACATCTTGTTCTCCTTCCTCAACTTTTCTGAAGTAATGCCCCCCACCCAAAGTCTGGGAAGCAAGACTTGAACGTATTTTCTAAGATCTAGCCCTCAACACAATTCTTACTTTTACAAGCTTCTGCAGTAGGGGGAAACTCCACTCCTTGCTAAAACTCTACTCATCCCTTCAAGCCAAGTCCGACGTTGCATTTTCTCCAAGGCAGCTTCTTTGTAAACCCACCCAAAACCTTGCTTGGTATCTTTCCAAAGAGGTCCAGCTTTAAGCAACTCAACAGCTGTCGAAAATCCACCTCATTTCCCTCCACCTCAACTTTTTGGGTCATAACTTCAGGTTCAGAATCCTGGTGGTAGCAACCGCATATAAACCGGAGTCAATAAAAGTGAGTCCTGGTTGCCTTTTTTTTCCTGAAAACCAGGTTTAGCTCAGGCGGGCAGCTTCTTTGCATGGCTCTGGCAGCCTCAAGACACACTTATGAAAAGGAGAACAAGCCGAAGCAACAATTCATCGAGGGGACATCACTTCAAATGAAATGCTTTTTAAAATGCAAGCAATGCAACCAGGAACGGGTACAAATCAAGCGCACCTTGAGCAATTAAATGATGGATATGGCCAACTCAATTAACTCTTTGTAGAGCCCAGAGACAGAAAACTTAACTGGCTAAATACCACTTAGCGTTCAATCTAGGTCTGTGACGGCAAACCTATGGCAGGCGTGCCACAGGTGGCACACGTAGCCATATCGGTGGGCACGCGAGCTCAGCTCCGGTGCGCATGCACATTCCAGCCAGCTGATTTTCGGGCCTTCTGGACCCACCAGAAGTAGGGAAACAGGCTATTTCCTGCCTCCAGAGGACCTGGGGCGGGGAGGCTCGTTTTTCTCTCTCCCCAGCCTCTAGAGCCTTTCTAGGAGTCTGGGGAGAGCAAAAACAGCCTTCCCCACCCTCCCGGAGGCCCTCCGGAGGCCGAAAACGGCCCGTTTGCCAACTGGGGACAGCAAAAAACAGGCCTACCGTGCCATCATATGCTATGAGGGGGGAGTCGTGCACACATGCATGGGGGCAGGGTGCATAGGATTATGGGTGTTGGCACACACATGTGTGACACACACACACCCTGCTCCTGGCACGCGATGGCAAAAAAGTTAGCCATCACTGATCTAGGTTATTTGGTTTCGGGTGGAAAATGCTTCCTTGCAAAAACTGGAAGGTGAGGAAAGAAGGAGTAAGGGTTCAACAATATGCCAAGAAAACATATATATATATATATATTTTACAATACCTCCTTCCCCGATTTCTCAATCTCTACCGTCACGGTGGTATGGTTCTTGTGTTCTTGGAACATGCAAAGGTAACAGATGCAGACTTGGTCGGTCTGGCAGAAAAGCTCCATGGTCTTGCCATGAATGGGACATTTCCTGGCCTCAAAGTCCTTGATGGGATCCAGCAGTTGGTGATCTCGAAAAGCAGCCCCTTCGAAGTGGGGCTTCAGGTGAAGCTCACAGAAGCTGGCTTGACACACCAGACAGGACTTCACCGCCTTCTGCTTGTTGTCGATGCAAGAGTCGCAAAGGACCTCTTCCAGAACCACCCGGGGTCTTCCGGCAGGTACTCTACTGACCCGGTTGAAGTTGGACCTTTTGGTCTCTCCAGTTTCCCCTAGGGTGATGATGGGTTTTCGTAGATCTGCAATCTGCCCACTGGAAAACATCGACTTCTTCCCTTCGCCTTCGCTGCCGAAAGATTTCTTGGTCTCCACGTTGAACATGGGCTTCCTCAAATCTCCTCGCTCTGGAAAAGAGACTTGGGACCTCCGAGTTTCTCCTCCAGCAGGAAAACCTGACTTCTTGGCCTCCCCGGGCTCCATGTTGAAGTAGGTTGACCTCTTCTCATCCGACGACTCCACAAATTGGATGATCGGTCTCTTCCAGTCACCTCCGGCATACATCGAATTCTTGAGCTGGGTTGTCTCCAGGCTTGGCGCCACATTGTTTTTGTTGGCTTCTTTCTCAACTTTGTTTGGGCTGCTGGATTTCTTCCCTTCTTCTGTCTCTTTCTTGGGCGAGGAGGGGGTCTTGGCTTCCTCTTGCTTGCCTGCGGTCCCGTTTGTCCTTGCCGTTTCCATCTCGTGGTCCTTTATCCCCCTGCGTTGGCTTTCTGGCTTCTTCTCTGCAGCCACGCTCCGTGAAGGATAGGATCAAATTGCAGCCTAATTTGCACCTTTCTTTACAGAAACAGTCAAGTTCTCAGGCCTTGATCCCAGCGAGGAATGAAAAAGGAAGGCAGGGAAAGCATTACCTAAATGCCACACCTGGAAAATGGGGAGGAGAAGGAAACACCTAGATTATACAGGTAGTGCCAGAGAGAAGACAGGCGAAGAGATATTACAAAAGGCATCAAGGAATCCTGCTTAATTATAGAAGGTGCTCCACACCCAAAAATATACCTGTCTAACCAGGTTAGGGAGTGAAAAGCTATTTATGTGTCACACTACTTTCTTCTTCTTCTTCTTCTTCTTCTTCTTCTTCTTCTTCTTCTTCTTCTTCTTCTTCTTCTTCTTCTTCTTCTTCTTCTTCTTCTTCTCCTCTCTTCCTCCTCCTTCTCTTTTTCTCCTCTCTCTTTCTCCTCCTCCTCCTCCTTTCTTCTCTCTCTTCCTCCTCTTCTTCTCCTCTCTCCTCTCTTGTCTCTCTACCTCCTCCTTCTTCTTTCTTCTCTCTCGTCCTCCCTCCTCTTCTTCTTCACCTCTCTCTTTCTCCTCCTCCTCCTTCTTTCTTCTCTCTCTTCCTCCCTCCTCTTCTTTTCCTCTCTTCCTCCTCCTCCTTCTTCTTTCTTCTTTCTCTTCCTCCCTCCTCTTCTCCTCCTCCTCCTCTCTCTTCTTCCTCCTCCTCCTTTCTTCTCTCTCTTCCTCCCTCCTCCTCCTCCTTTCTTCTCTTTCAAAAATTATTTTCATTATGAGGCTGCCAGCAGGCCTTCTACCTGCTTCAAAAAATAACTACTTCTTGACAGCAGGAATACATAAGTCGAATTAGCCAGAGAGGTTTAAAATATCCACCAGGCAAGTTTTATTAAGCGGGACGCATGAACATAAGCAATTTAGCTTGCAATTAAAATTCATGAAGAGAATAAGAAACCAGCTACTACTAAACATCAAGAAGGAGAGAATGGCACCCTCAGCACCCGATGCCATCAGGGCTCTCCGTGACAACTAAAAATTTAGTAGAAGTTGATCATCTCCGGCTTTGAAATTCTCCTTCAGGTATTATCTTTTCAAACCTTCAACGTTAATCCTCATCTACTTTATTTCCAGAATATAATTGCAAACTCTCGTGCTGTTTCTATTTCAATCAATGAGGAAGGGCCAGAGACAGAGAAGTAGGGTTGAAAATATGGCTTCATGTTCACTGTGAAGACCTGGTAGAATTCGTCTTGTAAACACCAGAGACAATGAAGAGCATCCCTCTCACCTTCTCTATTCCCACTGCCCTGACCTCATGAGTGACACATTATACACATTCATCTTTTCCTGAAAATAATACCGTCATTTATGCGAGCATCCACTTACCATCCTAATGAGACTTTTCAGTAAATAAGGATGTTGTACATCCTTGTTTGTAATTGGCCACCAAGGATGCACCACATCCTCCCCCAACTCCATTTCAGAAGCATCAGCCATGCTCCAATTTCTGAAAAGAACATTTTATGAAGTACCGTACTTTTTGGCGTATAAGACGCACTTCCCTCCCCAAAAAAAGAAGGTGGAAATGTTGGTGCGTCTTATACCCTGAATACAGCTATTTTTGGGCTCCCGAAACCCCGCCCTGTGCATCCCATTTTCACAAAAACAGGCCCGTTTTTCACAAAAATGGGGCACGCAGAGGGTTTGGGAGGCCTGCAGAGTGTTCCTGGGGGCTGGGGAGGCAAAAACGTGATGCGTTGGGGGGTTTGAGAGGCCAAAAACGGGCCTGTTTTTCATGAAAACGGGCCTGTTTTTCACAAAAATGGACACATTTTTGTCCTCCCCAGTTCCCAGGAGCACTCTGCAGGCCTGGGGGCCGGAGCGGACAAAAACGTTTTTTTTCTTGTTTACCTCTTCCAAATCTTGATGTGCCTTATACTCCGGTGTGTCTTATAGTCCAAAAAAATAGGTAATTGTTTAAACAAACACCAAACACAAACACGTCACAGGTAGGATATCTTGGGCTGCCCTATACGCTGCCTTGGTTTCTCCCGACAGTAGCCTGCAGGAACAGGTACTGCATGGTTTTGCAAATGCAACCTAGTTGCTGCTCATGCACAAATGAAGCTTTGCACACTCATCCACCACTCATGCAGCCTAGTTCCCAACTGGCCATGGAACGGTACTAGTCTCCATCCCGTGGGCTGGGGAACCCATGATCTAGGAAACACGGAAGGACTCCTTCACCATCCACAACTCAGATAGCTGGAGAGACCTTCCCTGCTTCTTCGTCAGGATATCCATCAGCCAAATTAGACCAGCTTCAAGGAATCGGCTTTCACTGCGTTACCTCCTTTGATCCTGGTTTGGCTAGAATCAGGCCCTGCAAAGGGAAAGGTAGACTAGAAAGCACCATATCCTGAGGTTTTGGAAAAGCTTGAAAAAATACTACTCAGAGAGGGAAGAGAACAAGGTCTTTTCACATCACCTTTCTCGCTGCCGAAAATCAAACTCTCACCATCGCCCTAAATAACATATCAGCCCTCCGTGGATTTAAGCAGTGCTTTAAATAAAGCCCATAGCAATAGACTTATATACCGCTTTACAGTGCTTTACAGCCCTCTCTACAAGGTTTACAAAGTTAGCATATTGCCCCCAACAATTTTGGGTCCTCATTTTACCCACCTCAGAAGGATGGAAGGCTGAGTCAACCTTGAGCTGGTGAGGATTGAACTGCTGGCAGTTGGCAAAGTTAGCCTGCAATAGTGTATTCTAGCCACTGCGCCAACACAGAAGGAAGGAAGGAAGGAAGGAAGGAAGGAAGGAAGGAAGGAAGGAAGGAAGGAAGGAAGGAAGGGCAATAGCGCTTAAACTTATATACCGCTTCACAGTGCTTTTACAGTCCTCTCTAACCCATTTACAGAGTCAGCCTATTGCCCCCTACAATCTGGGTCCTCATTTTACCCACCTCAGAAGGATGGAAGGCTGAGTCAATCTTGAGCTGATCAGGATCAAACTGCTGGCAGTGGGCAGAGTTAACCAGCAATACTGCATTCTAGAAGGAAGGAAGGAGGAAGGAAGAAAGGAAGGAAGGAAGGAAGGAAGGAAGGAAGGAAGGAAGGAAGGAAGGAAGGAAGGAAGGAAGAGCAATAGTGCTTAAACTTATATACTGCTTCACAGTGCTTTTACAGTCCTCTCTAACCCATTTACAGAGTCAGCCTATTGCCCCCTACAATCTGGGTCCTCATTTTACCCACCTCAGAAGGATGGAAGGCTGAATCAATCTTGAGCTGATCAGGATCAAACTGCTGGCAGTGGGCAGAGTTAACCAGCAATACTGCATTCTAGAAGGAAGGAAGGAGGAAGGAAGGAAGGAAGAAAGGAAGGAAGGAAGGAAGGAAGGAAGGAAGGAAGGAAGGAAGGAAGGAAGGAAGGGCAATAGCGCTTAAACTTATATACCACTTCACAGTGCTTTTACAGTCCTCTCTAACCCATTTACAGAGTCAACCTATTGCCCCCTACAATCTGGGTCCTCATTTTACCCACCTCAGAAGGATGGAAGGCTGAGTCAACCTTGAGCTGATCAGGATCAAACTGCTGGCAGTGGGCAGAGTTAACCAGCAATACTGCATTCTAGAAGGAAGGAAGGAGGAAGAAAGGAAGAGGGAGGGAGGGAGGGAGGAAGGGAGGGAGGGAGGGAGGAAGGGCAATAGCGCTTAGACTTATATACCACTTCACAGTGCTTTTACAGTCCTCTCTAACCCATTTACAGAGTCAGCCTATTGCCCCCTACAATCTGGGTCCTCATTTTACCGACCTCGGAAGGCTGGAAGGCTGAGTCAACCTTAAGCCTGGTGAGATTCGAACTGCCAAATTGCAGGCAGCCGGCAGTCAGCAAAAAGTAGCCTGCAGTACTGCACTCTAAACCACTGCGCCACCGTGGCCCATGCTAGCAGCGATCGTATCATCCCACTCCATGGGTGTGGGGGAAGTGGGGAGAATTGTCTATAGATCATACTTAATCTCCCGGCTCAATCAAGTATGCAAAACATCTAGATTTAGTGGGCCCGATCCAGGGAGACACTTCTGCTTCTTCTCTCTGAACAATTGGCCAAAGCACCGCAAAGGGACGTCACTCTTACGTTTGACTTTCCCGTACACGTTGCCGAGAGCAGGCATTTGTCAACCGCGACCCCGTGGCTCATGTCTCAGCCGGCGCTGTGATCCTTCTTGTCACTGCCTTCCACATGCCAGACATGTCTAGACTCTGTGGGGTGGAGTGAAGCGCTAGGAATGAGGGTGACAAAGTGTCCCAGTCAACGCCTCCTGGAAGCTTCCTCTCTTTGTTTAAAAAAAAAAATGCAATACTGTCATTATCGTAATTGCCGAGCAAATGTTCCATTTATCATTGCGGACAGTGTAAAAGCCTAGTCACGCCAGGCTGTGGGCCAGAAGAAAGCACGTGGGAATCTGATGCGCAGTCAGCTAGAAGGGTGTTTCACGGCTCTCCTTTCCGTGAAAGAAACCTGTGTGACTTTTGTGTTGGGCTGCCTTCGAGGGGAGGTGTTGTCTTTCAAGGTTGTGTAACCTTCAATCAAGGCTGCCTCCAGATTTTGCCGAAAACTAAACTCAGCGCTGCATTTTTTTTTTTTTTTGAAGCATCTGTAGATTATTTGAGGAATGTCAAAGGATGTCAGACAGGTTTCAGAGTAGCCCAGTTGCCTAAAAAACAGGTTGTGGGGGGTTCTATCTTTTAGAGAGGTGTTTGTTTGTTTTTTTCTGGGGCAGAGAAAGGAGGTTTTCAAATTCAATTTACCTCCCAAATATAAATATATTTCTAAAGGTCTTTGTTTCAAGAACTATATATTACTACATCCTGGGCTGTAGAAAATCGGATGAATTCAATCTAATCCAACCCATTGTTTTAGGGGGCTTCAGTTGAAAAATTCACAGATGAGATTCTTCGAAGATCTTCTACTTTGATCTGTTTAACAATAAAAAAAAAACTTCCAGAAAGTTTTGATCATCAATTGCTGCTATTGTCATACGTGGTGGGATTCAAATTTTTTTACTACCGGTTCTGTGGGTGTGGCTTGGTGGGCATGGCATGGCTTGGTGGGCGTGGCAGGGGAAGGATACTGTAAAACCTCCATTCCCTCCCCACTCCAGGGAGAAGGATACTGCAAAATCCCCATTTCCTCCTGATCAGCTG